GAACTTTCCGTTGGGTTTTATGAAGCTTAGGGTACGTTGCTGCTCTGCAGGAGCACAGAAAGCGAACATTAACCAGCCTGTTCGTCGGTGGATTGTTGGCATGTTCAACATTAACCATCTGTTCAAGAGAAGGTCCAACACGTTGAATACAGCTGGACTCTCCACATTCTTGGAATGAGCTACACATGTGTTTTTTAAACTCTTGTTTTGCATATAATCATAAAAACGATTTAATCTGGGGGTTTTGGTGGGGGGTTGCCACACTTATAAGCTTTCAATTCAAACAAAGATAACTTGAGTAAACCCAAAATGCAGTTTTAAAAATGTTTTAATGTTTGAATTTTTAAAAAGTGGCTCAACTTGTCTGGTTTTATCAGCTTTAGCAGATGATTTAAGAAGAAGACAGTGGGTTTGGATATCTTTTCATCCTTCAAGGAAACCTATTGTGCAAAATTCTCATTTTACATGTTTTTATATTTTCATTTGCGTCTCAACTGCTTATAAAAACAACCCAAGCATTAAAAAAATACCCAGCTGTGTCTTTTTGGCAACAAGTTGATGGTTTTTGTTGAAAATTTGCCATTTCAAAAACTTCCTGAATGTCGAGTCACAATTGACGGGCACTGCCCCGTTGCCTAGCGACGCCAGCCGAGCCCAGCCCGTCACATAGCAACATGAGCTGAGTACCAGGATGTTAAGTCAGCTGATTTTATCGCTGTAAAATGGCTGCTGGGAAAGACGACTGCTTTGTTGTTTACTTACTGTTCAAAAACCACTTGCTGTGTTTTTGTTGGCTGCGCAGGAGGCTGCACTAATGCTTTTCAACACTGCAACAATGCAAAATCTCACCAAGTATTTTTGGTCTACTTTTTGGTGCTGATATCTTAGTACACTTAAAATAAAACAAAACTAACTTTTCATCAGGATACCAAATGAAATTAAAAATCTCATAAACTTTTATCTGTACAGCAAATTTCAGCAACAAGCAGTTCAAGATGCTCTACATCATAAAAACACAAAAATACACAGTCAACAATTGAAACATTACATTTTAGCATCGTTACACATCAGATTGAAACTTAATCAGTTTCATTGATTAAGTTTCAAAAGAATCTCTAAACTTGTGGGTTTGAGGTCTGGATGATAAAACAATATCAGAGATTGTTTTACGTCAATAATTTATTAATATTCATAAAAAGTACTAGTTCTACTGTAGGATTATTTTACTTATAACTATAGGTTTTCATCAATATTAAGGATTTATTGACCGTAAACAAGCTCCTTTTTTGGATGAAAAGTTACTTCTAAGGTAGTTTTGTCTTATTTCAATATATTTGCACAAGAAACTAGACCAAACTGTTTGGTAATATTTTGTGTTTTTGTCGTGTGACTTTTATTTGTGTTTATTATTATATGCTGAAAGCCTTTATTACAAAAAGAGGGAATCATGAGCAGGTTTCGCGTTGTGTTCGCCCTTCCTGTTGCCCCCTGTGGCTGCAGTGATGGACACGCAGTCAAGCTTGCGGCTGCCTGCCTGAATCTCCTCGTTTTCCAGGGGGAGGTGATGTGGGACACCGAGCCCAGATCCATTAGGGTGAGAACACGGACTCAGATTTGTGACCCCGCCACATATTGGTCCAATAATGAAACCAGGACAGACAGGAGAAAAGGTGGTGGGAAGCTAAGGAAGACGGACAGAGATGATGTGATTAAAGATGATGGCTGACAGGTGTGAAGACCCCACTGGAGATTGTTATTGGGCTGTAATCCTCTCCCACAGACGGAACAATGTTCAAGTCTCCACACTGTGATGGATGTGTTGCTAAATAAAGATTGACACCTCAGTGATGTGAATCTCTGGGTAGAAAGCATGTGACGGTGTCATTAGCAAGCATTTTTTTTGTTTTTCTGGAGGAACTTCGCTGACTGGCTGGAGCCGGGTGACAGACGGAGGATGTTGGCTCAGAGCTGTAACAGCCAGTCATTGTACGGCGGCTACGCCATCGCTGTCGGTGTACAGAACAGACTCACAGCAGATTCTCAGCAGACACGAGAAGCTTTATCTGAGGAAATTCACATCCTGACAGACATTCACATATAAACATGTACATGGATTGCCTCGGTGAAATATTTGCAGGTGAGAGAAAAGCAGAAGAGAAAATTAATAACTCCTCATTGCTCTTGTAAGCTTGGTTTGTTGTTTTGTTATAGAAGTTTTAAAGGGCAAATAACATAATAACATGCATTTTGTAACCATTTTATAACACAATCAAGGAAGTATGATAACGTCAGTTGTCAAAGAAAGCTGTACATATCAAATATGGCTTAAAATACATGTTTTAATGCCTTGAAATTGGGCTTGTGTCTCTTTAAAAACTCTTGCTCTTTCTGAAACTCTGCCTTCAGGAAATCATCATAACATAGTCCCTCCATTAACCTCTTAACAGTGTTTTTACTAGCATTGCACTGAGAAGTAGCTCCTGTAATGAGCTCAGCTGATGCACAGTTCCATCTGTTTTTTGCTAATTGCTGCTGGCTAGTCTGAAGGAGTCGTGTGGAGAATTTACTGGGAAAATGCAGCTTGGAGGAGGAGCAATGCCTCAAAGGCAGCACTGGGTCGAACATTTTCGACTTTTGAAACTCAGAAATTACCTCGTTTTTCACTCAAAATTTCTGACATCTGTCTCAAAATTTCTGAGTTGCAGCTAAAAGGAGGAGTTTTGTCCTCGAAGGCGGGGCTAGGTCCACCCAGGCGTCTTGAGGGAATACCATTACACATAAACACAGGAAGTTAGTGCTAGCAGGAGAAATGGCTTGTTCTCTTTCACTAAAAACAAAAGAAAATTCCTACAACCAAAATCTGACGCATCTCCATTTTAGCTCAGTATTTTCTTCAGAGGTTTGGTTTGTCGCTTCGTTTAGTGGTTCTCAGTGCAACGCCCCCACTGGTGAGGAGGGGAACAGGTTTTACAAAGATTTGGTTTGTCTGACACAGTTCAGAGTGAAAGTGAACTGCAGCAGCTGAAAATTTAACAAATGTTGCAAATTTGTTCCCAAAGAGAAGCACAACTTTTTCTAGTCTAATTAAATGTCTACATACAATATATAACAGGTATTCTTGTTTTTATTTTTATAAAAGAACAGGCCGTCTTGTTTTGTGAGGATACGCAAATAAAATCTACTTGACTTTTACGAGAAATAAGGACGCACTAAATGTCTTCCCACTTATTGACCAAAACATTTAAAATGGGTGCTGGGGTTGTAATACTCATTTGGGAAGATTTGTTTTCTTTATTTCAGATCTGATCACGTCTCGGTCGGGGATGTAACCTTTTAAAAAGCTTTCATGAACCCTCAGGAGCTCATCATGCTACTTTACTTTCAGCATCTGAAATCAAGCAGCTGATTGTTTGAAGATGTTATTTACGGAGGTCAAGAGGCTTTTCCGTATTGCTGTAAGGGGAATGGGGGCCGAACTCAGACTCTGAGTGGATTTGCTCCGTCATGAATAATTCATCAGGCTGTTATTATCAATCTGTGGGGAAAACACAGCATTGATTTACATGAATATTTCAACAACCCACTCTGACATCAAAGTGTTGATGGAGGACACCCTGGGTAAGTGGGTGTGCATGTGTTACCATTATTGAAGTGGACCCTGGTGGACGGTGCTTGACTGGAGACAAAATAATAATCTGTTCGGATTGATGAGAGGCCAGGAAGACGTTGGAAACAAATCTGTGATTAACCTCTCATCCAATTTGGTTTCCTCTATAGTAAGTCAAAGTTTATCTGTTAAAAGTAATCTGTTATGCTTTATTGAAGAGGTTAGGGTAGATCTATGAGCGATACAAAACTTGTTAATTATATTATTGTTTTGCATAAAATCATTAGATAATAAGATTTCAGTCTGCTCAGGTCTGCCTCTTTTGAGCTGTTTTAGGGCCTCTTGTTACTTTAAAAACTTATAATTTGCTGCTGGCCTCGCTTCCCCGACTTAATATTTACTATTGTCATGAAAAACTACGCAATTATGCAACCATGCGTCTGAAAAGGAGAAGTGGAGCCTCCTGCAAAATCTACAACAATCCAGCAAGTTGTTTCTGGATGGCAGGTCAACAGCAAAACACTTGTTGTTTCCAGCAGCCATTGTACAGTCATAAAACCAGCTAACCAAACATGCTGGAGCTCAAGTTGGGTTGCTAGGTAACATCATAGTGACTTTCAAATGTGCAAAATTCACATTTGGTGAGTTTCTATACTCCTTTTTCGGTCTCAACTGCTTCTAAAAACAGTCCAATGGTTAAAAACATTTGTAGCATTGGTGTCTGGAAAATGACCCATTTTAAAAGCTTCAGAATATAAAGTCACACCATCTGTCACCTTACAGGGTATTTTGTTTAGTTTGTCTAGTTTCTTGTGCAAATATCTTAGTACACTTGACTAGTAAACTGAACTCCAGCATGTTTGCTCAGCTGGTTTTTCCACTGTATGTGCTGTACAATGGCTGCTGGAAAAGACAAGAGTTTTGTTTTTGACTTACCATCCCGAAATCACTTGCTGCATTCTTGTTAACTGTGTAGGAGGCTCCACTTTTGCTTTTCAAAGATGTACAGTTGTTTAATTTCACATCTGTTCACGTAAAAGTGTAAATGTTGATTTTGAGGCACCGTGGCCAACAGCAGCTTATTTAGATTTAAAGTCACAAGAGGCCCTAAAAGTCATTTTCCAAGAATGAGGTCATGGACCTATCAGAACCGGTTCAAGGAAGCATAATAGGTCTCCTTTAACAATCGGGTGGATTTTCCAGACACCAAAAGACTTTAACTTATTACCAAAATTCAGCTGGGTGTTTTTTAACCACTTTGGCTGTTTTTAGAAGCAGTGGAAACCCAAATGGAAGTATAAAAATGTACTAAATGTGAATTTTGCCTGATAGGTTCCCTTTAAATGTGTCCTTCCTGTAATAAGTTGACATATCTGACCACGTGTCTCCTCAGATGACAGCGCGTCGGCAGCCAGCAGCATGGAGGTGACGGACCGGATCGCCTCCCTGGAGCAGCGGGTCCAGATGCAGGAGGATGAGATCCAGCTGCTCAAGTCCGCTCTGGCCGACGTGGTTCGGAGGCTGAACCACTCAGAGGAGCAGCAGGCCTTGGGGTCGCGCAGAGGACCCACCAAAGGTAACACAGAACCAGAACCTTCACTTTTACCTCTGCTTTGTTTCGCCTTACATGATTTTATCTGTTTGTGGAGCTTTTTCTTTACGTTTCTTCTTCCTGCCAAAGTTTACTTCAGATTCTGCTTGATGCCTCTGACCAGCTGTTACTCTCTTCTCCTCCATGACTGTGTTGTTTTGTTAATTGCGTTGTGTGATAGAGCCCACTAAGATGAGAAAATCTCCATCAGCAGACAGCAGTTTTGGCAAGTCAGGTAGGCCAGCTGTAGCTTGTCTGCACTCATCGGGCCTGTTGTGCACTTTTCAGTCGTTGCCTGCAACATTTCACCTCAATATACTGCAGTGTTCAGATTAGAAGACAGATTTAATAAAAGAAAACTTTTGCTTACTATAATTTGTAGTTTATATATTGTTTTTAATAATTTAAGAGCATTTTACACCTAATTGTGCTGTTAAACTTGAAATTCCCCTATAAGGGAAAATAGAAGTTGTTTCTGTTGTCACTTACATCTACATAAGTTAATAAGAATAAGTTAATAATAATAAATTGCTTAATTTAGAGAATAAATTAAGAGAATTAAGAGAAATAAAATAAAATATTATATTTGTAAATGTAACATTTATTTAATTGATGTCTAATCCTTTGTATGTGTATCTGGAAAAATTAATTTCTCTTCAACAGCAAAGAATGAAAAACAAAACTTTTTACTTGAGGAAAAAGTTTGGACCCCCTAAAGTAAATTTAGTTTTTTCCTGAGAAAATGCAGCTTGGGAAACAAAAATACTTAAACTCAATGCTTAAACTTGATATACAGTTAACTGGCATTTTCAAAGCAGCCAATCCTGGAGCGCTGTTCATTTTCCTTTGTTCTGATTGGCTGAAAGACAGAGCGAAGAAAGAGTGCAGTAATACTAAAACCGTTTCCATATTTATTCATAAAAAGGATATTTCTTGTTTGAAATCAGTAGATTTTAGTGTTTATTACAGGATATTTTGTCTAGTTTCTTGTGCAAATATCTTTGTACACGTAAAATAAAACTGAATTAACTAAACAAAATATTGGAGCTTGTTTTCAGTAAGTTATTATTGAATATTAATCGAAAAGTAGAAGTAACAATGTAAATTTTTTTCACCAGTAAGAAGAAATTTTCCCCATGTTGCAAGTGAAGACGTTATAACATGGAACTTTTTCATGAATATGAAGGAATTATTTACTTGAAACAAGCTCCTACATCGTGGTGAAAAGTTACCTAAAAGTTAACGGTTTCTTATTTCAAGTGTATTCAGATGTTTGCAGTGGAAAGTACACTGTAAAACTAAATTTTCTAATTTACAATAAAGTACCGGCCACTGGGGAAACAGATTTTACAGTATTTTTTAAATCATATTTATACCATATTTGTATGTTAAAATCTGTATTTATACTATAAACTTCTGGCAATTCTGGTCGGTATTTTAAATTAAATATAATTTTTTGCAGACATAGAAATCCTTGGTAAGATTTTGTGTTTTTGAAGTGCAGTCTTTCTTAAAGAGCAAAGTTTGGCACCGACTGTGGAAGTTGTTTCTAATTGTATTTATGATGATATTTTTGAGTTTTTGGAGACTTGTAGCATCTTGATGTAAACCTGTTTGAAGAGTCAGATCTGAACACTATGTAAACTGAATCTCCAAATGTTAGAAAATTATGGCGTCTTGATTTTTTTCACCTTCACACCTGTGAGTTAAACTCTGCTGCTGATTTTATTCCACTCCACAGGACATGTTGCCTCTGTCCAGGCTGCACTTGTTGCTTTGTTTTGCATGCTGCCACTGCTGTCTGTCTGTCTGTCTGTCTGTCTGTCTGTCTGTCTGTCTGTCTGTCCGCCTGCATGCTGTCGGTTCTGTTCAGCTGCTCCAGAACCAACGTTTGGGCTCCAATGTCAGGAAGTGATGAGATCTGAGTCAATAGACGACGAGCTCTTGCAACTTTCTTTGATGAAAATGCAGTCTTAAACATTTATGCTCTATTTACACCAATTATAAGAATGTAGGACACTGAAAAATGGTGAAATTATATTTCATGTATCTCTCTTATTGTGTCATGTAGGTGAATTAGTTTGACAGTCTTATTCACAACCCATCCAATAAAGTGTTACCCAGTTTCTTCTCCACTCAGAAACTGAGTTTTGCTCTCCACACCTGATGGTTTCAGGTGTTTTTGAAAGAAGGAGCCGAATCGGGTCAGAGGTCAGCTGCTGCTGCCAGTTCAGTTCTCATGGTGGCTCTGAGTTTCATGCAGGTGATTCCTGAACAGTTTGTGCCTCTGCTGAAGAACAAAAAGCCAAACCCGGATCGGAGTCAAAGAGCGAGCGCTCAGCTTGTTCCGGCAGCACAATGTCTACTGCAGACATAAAGCAGATAGAGCTGGCTGTGCATGTGTCTCTGCTGCATCTATTACATACTTATCACTGCAGATAAAGCAAAAATATTCAAACCCTTTGAACTTCCATTCATTTTGTCACATTGGAACAGTAATTAGTGCATCATTATAAAGGGGAAAGATAGGAATACATAGACCTTTTCAAAAGGGGTGTGAATACTTTTGCATTTGATTTGTGACGTCATGTTAATTTGTTAGAAAGTTATCATGAAACTAGTACAAACTACTGCGTTAATGCTGTAGTTCTAAGAATTTTTTTTTTTTTAATGTAATTTTGATAAATGAGTAATGACAACATTTGGATGAATAAATTATTTTTAAATCTGCATATGTCCTCACATTAAAGGATGTGGATAGAGGGAGTGATACTTAAGGGTTAGAGATAAATATTAGGGAAAAAATCATTAATTAAATTAACCGTGACTAATTATTATTATTATTAAATTATCAATTATTATTTAAAAGAATTGCCAACTAATTTAGTGATTGATTAATTGTTAACTGGAGTATACTGACTCAAAAAAGGCTATTCTGCTGAAAAAAAAACTTATTCAAAGCAGTAATTAAGTCAAAATTGAACAAAAATTATATACATTTTGTACTTAAGATTAAAAAAAATTTATGTAAATTTGGTTCAAAGATATTTTCACCGTTTTCAATCAAAGTATTAATCAGTCATCTAAAAAAACCAACTGATTAATGAATGCAGCAGAAAGAGCAGATCTTTTCACATGTTGATGTTAGAAATGTATATTTTTGCATCTTTTGCTATAAATAATCTAGTGTTTTCTAAAAGAATGCTGTGTCACTATATTTTAGGAAATAAAATATTTTTCTTATTTAAAAAGCTAAATTATTTATTTTATTTCCATCTTTTAGTCTATTTCTAATATTGTAAAAAAAATAATTAAAAAAAAGATTTAATTTTTTAGCTGAAAATCTGCAAAATGTGCCAATTTTTTAACCAATTAATCAATTAATCATCAGAATAATCAGCTAAGAATAATTGTCAGTTACAAAGCCAATGAATATGAACATTTTTGGTCTTCCCTAACTTCACAATTCAACATTTTTATAATTACAAGAAATTTATCAGAATGGTGAATTCTTCTGGAAACAATGTGTCCAAATCAAGTAAGTGGGCCTGACAGATCCTCCAGAATAATGTCAAAACATCCAAACAGTAGCTTAATGTTACTAGAATGTAAAACCTGATGGAACATAATCAGTTTAGTTTTTTATATTTTGTTACTCTCTGATAGAAACGTTTCACTGCTGCAGCTGACGCTCCTCTCCCTCCGGCTTGTGGTTGTTTGTCTTCCAGCCAGGCCGATGATCGCCACTCTGCCGCTGCGGCCCACGGTCAACAACGGGACCGTCCTGACGAAGAAAGGCAGCAGCACACTGCCCTCCCCGTCTGGACCCGGGACCAGGAAGGACGCCAGCCCGGCAGCCAACAAGAGGTCAGGAACCAAAACAAAGGATTCCTAAAGTACCGTCCGACGACAGAGCACCAGGAGTAAAACACTGATTAAAAAAATCACAAACAATAATCAGAATAAAGTCAGAAATTACAAGAATTAAATCCTATGAAAATAAGGTGAATTTATATGATAAGGTCATAATATTTTGAGGAAAAATTTTAAACAATACAAGAATAAAGTTGTAATAATATGGGAAGAAATTTATATTTCAAGAAGAAAGTTGTATAAGAATAAAGTCAAAAAAATATTAGAGCAAAAAGTTATGATTATATGACAATAAAGTTATATTTTAAGAATAAAGTCAGGAAATTAAGAGGTTAAAAGTAAAAAAATATGAGATTAATGTCACATTATGGGTATAAAAATCCTACTCTTTTATTATTTTGACTTTATTCTCACATGACTTTAAAGTTATAATGTGAATTTGTTCTTATTTTACAATTCAAAAATACTTTATTGATTGCAAAGGAAAATTAAATTAAATTGTGACTTTATTCTCATATTATTTTAATTTATTTTTTGTAATATTACAATTTTAGTCTTATAATTTTATCATTTTTTATGTTCTTGGCATCACCCTAATACTATTCAGCAGATTGATAGATTTGTTTCTTGTTTTTGATCTATATTTTGTGCTATTTTGAAAGATTCACAAAGTGTTTTTAAGTGCTAAAACGATTAAACAAATTAATTGGGATTAATCGATTATTAAGATAATCGTCAACTAATTTAGTTTTTACAGTATTTTCCAGGATATAGAGCGCACCTCACTATAAGCCGCAATCACAAAAATGTTTTTAAAATGGAAACGTACATATATAAGCCGGTGGTCTCTCCGTCGCTCTCGGTTTCCCATCAGGAAGCAACAGAAATTTCACTGTAAGTTTTTTCTTACTGGAAAAGTGAAATAAACATTTTTATTGACCAGTTGAGTTTTTCTCCCCTCTCCTCATGCATCGTGTCGTGTTTTCCCAGGCACATCCTCTCCTGTTGCCTGTTTTTGAAACTATGTCCTGTTTTGTCCTCTTTTCTCTTCCCACCAGAATTTTGTCCCTCAGGTGAGAGTCACCCAGCTAACATCACCGCCATTTAAAACGCAGACTAAAACTTGCTAAAATGATACTTTTAAGCTAATTTTGACTTATTTCAAGTGTACTAAGATAGCTTCATTTTTCAAAAAATTCTTGGTAAAATTTTGTGTTTTTGCAGTGTGTAAACATAGAAAGTTGGATTTTAGTTTAACTTTCTCCCTGACTCTCTCAGTGATGTTTGTATTCATTTGAGCTTCGGTGCAGTCGCTTCCCAACAACCTTTAAAGCCCTGCGGTCCAATTAGGGCGCCGGGTTTCCTCACAGGAAAAACAGCAAACAGTTGTTCCCCTCTGCTGCTTTGGATAAAAACACACACACAATTTGTGCAGAAGGGATAAAAGCCAGCGGCGAGTTTCAGGTTCTGGACAGAGTGGATTAGATGACCTGTCTGCCTGCTGGCTGCTGATTTGGCTCTTTTTTTGTTGTGGAAAAAGGACTGGCTGCCCTCATGCAGATCTGTGCAGCGCTGCTTTTATTCTGACATGTTGTTTTAAATGAACCGTATTCTGGTGGAGAAATACAATCTTATCATTTTGCGCTTCAACAAATTCCAATGTTTTATGTATTTCAGCTGCTTTGATCAATCAATCAATCAAATTTTATTTGTATAGCACATTTCAGCAACAAGGCATTTCAAAGTGCTTTACATCAAAAACACAAAACACAAAGTCATGCAACTTAAAGACTAGCCTCAGTCCGGTTCTTCACTTAGGATTCTAATTCCGAGGACAGAAAGTTTTACTCACAGAGAAAGATGAGCACCACTCACTCTTGTATGCACACACACACACAACAGCAATGACATGGCAATAAAAACCGCAGCAACAAACAATTTTCTATCAGTGCGAGGATTCTTCCTTATGGAAAGTCCTCATAAAATGAGGGACTCTAAAAACACCTCTCTTGTAGATTTTAGTTGAACCAACTGGGATTCTACACCCTCTGGGAATTTAGTCAAGTTGTTCTGACAAGGCCTCCAACCTGGGAATTTAGCTGAGAAGTATCAGCTGGGCCTCCAACCCTTTGGTACTTTAGTCAAAATACTATTTGACAAGGACTCCAACCTAGGAATTTAGCTGAGAAATATCAGACAATAACACTGAGTGAGCAAACACCTTTTTATTTGCTCCCTAATTTTCTGCTTTTTGCTTTGGAAGGCAGTGAAGCAAACTTAATTTATTGTGACTGTTTTATATGTTTTTAGGACAGGATCAGCAGTTCTTGAAACAGGAAAATAGAACATAGTATGCTTTCTCTGCCAAAGTTGGAGATGGTAATTTTTCCAATCTGAATATAAGTTGTTGTTCTACTAATAGACTGATAAGAATTTAACAAATTTTATTTATTTATTTATACCTTCGTTAGAGGAGGTATAACAATACTGTATTTAAGCTAGGGATTCATTGATTTATTATTAATTTTCGATTAGTGGTTTATTGGATTAAAATGAATTCATATTGATTAACTAGTTAGAACTTCTTGTAGTGTTGTAGTCTGGCCGCCATCCAGCAGGTGGCGCCCCTGGTCATCCTCAAGCGGAGCCTACCGTTTGTTGATGTGAAACAAAGATGGCGGCGGCGCTATGACGGAACGGGAAAGAGAAACGGTCCTGAGTCCGGTTTGGGAAGCTAAAGAACACTTTATTCGGTTCTGTTTTGAGAGATAAACACTCAAAAAGCCCTTAACTTAAGCTAAGTTTTACTTTAATAGCACTCATTTAGCCGAGATACATGTTAATTTCTCACTCTACGATGACTAATTTACTGCGAAGGCGATGATAATGTGACAGAAAAGTGGAGGAAATATTTTATTCTTGTGTAAAAAGGTTGACTTTTATAGCTGTGATGATTTAACGATTTAATGGAGCAAAGTTTTAACATTCCTTCCAGAGCAACAACAGAATACCTCTATGAATGTTTCTCTATTCATGGGGTTTCACGTATTTAATTCTTTTCATCTTTTTTTTTATTCAGCAACCTAGAAGGCTGTTGTTTTGCTACATTTTATACGTCCAAGTGTATTAATGTAAGAAAACCATTAATACTTATTTTTATAAATTTTCTATTTGATCACTTAGTTAATAGAGCTGACAGAAAAATAATGTTACATTTTAATAGTCGTTTTAAAAAATTCAGCATATTATGAAACATTCACCCCACCATATGAAAAGCTGGGCACTCTTGAAACAAGAAAAAACTCAGATTCTTAAGAAAATCAACTAATCATTAGTTAATAAGATAAATAAACTTTTGATCAACTTATTAATCAATAACTTGCATCCCTAATTTCAGCAGCCAGGTGAAAGGTTGTGCTTTATGTCTCAAACGCCTTTTTGTTGCTGATAAAGCATAAAAAGAAATCCTTATCAATGAAATCTTTGCAAGAAAGCTCACAGACGCTTCCACTCACTGGTTTTGCTTCTTGCGTTTGTCCCTGCAGCACTGTGAGGAGAGCCAACTCAAACGAACACGTGGGGACTCTCACTCGCAAGGATTCGGGCGACTCCAAGGGGAACCGAACCCGGGCTGGCTCAACGGGCAGCAACTCCAGCGGCAAGAGAAGCGACAGGTAAACCTAAACCTCAGTCACTAACTGCGTTTCCATCCCAAATGTGTGAAAGTCTTTGTCAACATTCTCCTAATGTAAAAAGAAAAAAACTCCAGTTATTCACCTTGATGCATGAATAAACGATAAGTCAGTAAAAATCCTGGCAGTGATGGATGTAAACGGTAGGATGTATTTATAATTCAGCCATCAGAAGAAACGTCGGCATCTTAATCAAGCATTGGAGCGACAAGCTGGTTACACTTGGGAGCAATTATAGTCATAATGAAACACAACTTTATATGTACTGTGTGGCGCTGTGAGAGCCAGAGTTGGGTAGTAACTAGTTACATTTACTTGATTATATTTACTTCAGTATTTGAAAAAAAAAACTATTTTTGGGAATATTTTGTCTACTCTGTAGTTTTTACTCTTAATTTAATTTTTTTTTTAATTTTTATTAAGCTATTCTTACTTAATTAAGTAAAATTTCTGGATGTTCTACCCGCTGAATGAAAAACAAACAGGTTCTGGACAGAGTGGATTAGATGACCTGTCCAATGGTGAGAGCTCTTCCTCCTACCGCTTCCTGTCATCGTCTTCTCCATTGTTTTCTCCAGTAGTAACATCCGGCTGTTGATCATGTGACTTTTTTGATGCTAAAAGTGTTTGGAAAAACCAAACCGTCCGAGCACAAAACCGTTTTTTTTTTTTTTTATCATAAAACTGGAGTTTTTTTTTTTTTGGTTTTTTAAATTGCTTTGTCTCCAATAAGCACATTTATTTTAAAAATTTCAATTTGCACAATTTTGTGGTGAAAGGAAACACAGCTACTGATTTTTTAGGTTCTTAGTTTTCTAAACTGAAGTGTGTGAGCTTGCATGACTGACAGTTGTGTGTTTATTCATTTACTTTGCAGCAAACAGAGGGATCCAGTGTTCAATGCAGGTATGAGTCCAGATTTTTCTTTTTCAAAGAGTTGAGAGCTGATGTTATTTTTTTTTTCCAAAAAATGAATTTAATATCAGCTATGATTTCTGTGTCATGAGTGTTTTGCACACAGAAGTCTACTTCAGCTTCTTTCAATGATGTCCTGGTTTAAATGTCACTGTTAAACATTCATTTTTCTCATTGCTCATTCTTTACATTTAACACATTCACCTCATGTCGTTTTATCCTTGCTTCAATCATTACAAAATCTTTTCTTATTAAAACACTTTTTTCTAGATTTCAGTTCAGAACCAGCTTCAGGTTTTTGTTACAATGAATTAAATTCACCACAGCAGTAAGAGTTGTTATTATTGTTATTGTTATGTTTTATATTTAGATTTGTTACATAATACCCTCTACAGAAGTATTCATACTCAGGCCAAATTTAGATTTACATTTATTGTCATTTAACTAAGAAGATTTTACCGATGCTCAACAGACATGCAAAATTTTCCACTTAATATTTGAACAAACATGCAACTTTCTTTTTAACATGATTTAAAAAAAATAGATGAAAAACACAAAAAAAAATGATGATGATAGAGAGAAGTTCTTAGAAAGCGATTGCGGTGGTTTATTGAATACATCATGGACAGAAGCTGCCGTTCACCAGGAAACAGGAAGTGAGGTCACTGTAGAGGTGAGGAAGCGATGCCAACCTTCATCTGGTGCTTGTGTGTCTCTCTGTGACCTTTACAAGGGATGCGACGTGTGACCCACTGCAAAGGTAGGCCAGGGCCCCTCCGCTCCCCCCCTACCTCCGCCCTGTCTGCACAGCTCTCTGCTCATCAGTTTGGACGCATTCAGACGTGAAGCCGTTCCTCTCAGGCCAAAAGCAATAAAAACCTGTTCATGGAGTGAGCAGAAAGCTGTCCAGACTGGAGCAGGAGCAGACTGCTGAGCTGCGTTTGAAACTTTCCCTACGGAAAAATTAACTCACAAACATCCCACCTAACCTCCACTCAAAACTGCAAAAACACAAAAAACTTACCAAGTATTTTTTACTTTCTACCACAAAAAACTTACTCAACTTGATGTAAGACAAAACTAACTTTGAAGTAACATTTCAGCTTGTTTTAAGTCAATAATTTCTTCATATTTATTAGAAAAGTAATGGTGCCGTTGGTTGATTATTTTACTTAATACATTGAAAAAATGTCTTGTTATAAGTGAAATAATCTGCCAGTGGAAATAGTAGTTTTCTTATAAGTATTAAGAAATTGTTGATTTAAGTAAAGCTCCTATTTATTGCTGAAAAGTCACTTGTAAATAGGTTTGTATTAATAATCAATAAATCAGTTAAATTCAAAATGTAAATTTTCGTGATTTATTGATTTTCTTTTTTTTATCTTCTACAAAATACTGGATGATAAAAGTCTTCAGTCTCAACAAGCCCTTATTTCTTTTTTTTGAAGGATAATTTTCTTTACGGACATTTCAAAATTCATTTTGATATTTCTGTTTAATTTAAAATTTAAAATGTCTTCCGCTTGCAGCGTTAAATGTTTGGTAGAATCTAAAGTTTATTGCTCTTGTTTTTGCATTATTATGCCATTATTACCATTATATTACTTGAAAACAATCTCAAAACAACAATGTTATCGTTTACCACGATAACCTTTGAGACAATTTATCATCCTGAACAATTTGTTACCATGACAAGCACAGCTGTAAGTTCATTTTGTCTTATTTTAAGTAAGGTAAGATAAAAACAAATACTCGTTAAGACTTTGTGTTTTTGCAGGAGTTGCTGTCTGTTTGCTCACAGCCTCACTACAGTCAGTTTTGGTCACCATAGTAACGACACAAAGATGTCTGCCACTCAATGCCTTGCAGTTGCTTCCAGGTTGTTGTTTTTTTAACTCCTGCTCTTGCAGTCTCCCTGCACTTGGAATGAGTATTTGCACACTGACAGTTTCTATTGAATCTTGTCTGAGTTTTCAGCTTTTTGTTTTGTATCTGTGCCAAAGAAAAGAAAAACACGAATCTTTAAGCCAAAAGCGGGTCGAGTAGAAAAAGATAGTTGCACTGGAAAAACATATTTTTACTCAAGCAAAAGTAAAAATTAGCCATTTAGGAAATTACTCAAGTAAGAGTAAAAATGTATTTGGTTCAAAAGTTACTGAAAATATCAAGCATTTAATATTTTATATAGTATTTACATAATCAGACTGACTAAAATATGAAGTTATATGGAAATGTGTTTCGTATTTGCTGGGAAAGCAGCTTCTGAAACATTAAGCTTTTATGAAATAAAACTGTATTTTCTAAAAACGTTAGTACAAAAAACAAGCTGCTCCAGTAAAATATTTTACTATATGTTAAAAATGTTGATTTATAATTGCAGTCACTTTCCTTTCTTTCCTTCTTTTAGTACATTAGTTTGATCTTTGCTTTTCTCTCTCTCACCATGACATAAAAAGGAATTTTAATCATCTAACATCCAACTTTCTCCACCTTCTTTTCACATGCATTGCCCCTCCATCTCTGCCTCCTCTGCTCTGTAGTTCCCAGTCAATACTTTCAGATTTGTTACCAGCGCAAAACATCAACACTCATCGTTTGAAATATTATTTTTCTAGGTTAAACAGGCCAATTCATGGCTTAATTTAGATAAAGTTGTCTATTAGAAAAACGGTTGTTTTGGCCATCGATTTATTCTGACAATTAATCGAATATTCCAACAACTATTCATCAGAATATTTCATTATTCTGATGAGTAATCAAATGTACAGACAATTAATCGATTAGTCGTCAGGATATTTAATTATTCTGACAATTAACCGCCTGGATAGTTGATTATTTCGACAATGAATCGTCAGAATATTTGATTATTTTGATGATTAATTAATTGTATGAAAAATGGTCACATTCTTGATTTTTCACTTAACTTCACTTATGCAATATTAGAAATGCATTAAAATATGCAAAACAAAAACCTAATCAATTCCTTTATTAACAAGATTGCCTAACAGCAACAACACAGCGTTCTGTATTACTGAGCCAAACTCTACGCCACTTGAAGAGTTTTGCATATTTACAGACAAATTAGGTTTTTTTCTTAAATGCTCTGAATATGTTGTTTGTTTTTTGAATCTGTACACTTCAGTTAACGATTAAACGATTAAAGCCAGTTTAAGACATTTGTTTGTGTTGTAATTTTTCAGTTTTTAATTATTTGTTCATGACAGAAACATAAATAAATTCCACCTTCACACCCAGTTGCATCACTATTTAACTCACCAGCGCTTCTTTTGTTCACTAATTTCTCCCAAATTAATTATTCTGATGTGTTTGTGTGTAAACTCATGGTTTGATGAGGCTTTTTTTCTGTTGCCTTTCCTAGAGGAAGGTTATGTGAAGATGTTCTTGAAGGGTCGCCCCGTCACCATGTTCATGCCTAAGGACCAAGTGGACAGCTACAGCCTGGAGGCCCGAGGCGAGCTGCCCAGCAACAAACTCAAACTGGACTGGGTGTATCCTGCCTGGCAGCTTTCTGCAGAAATGAAATATTCACTGCAAGAACACAAAATATTACCAAGTATTTTTGGTAATGTACTATTCCCAACTATCCCCAACTACTGCTAATTGGGGATGCACCCATCTACTTTTGTTTTCTTCCGATGCCAAAATATGAGGTTTAGTATAGTTGGCCAATACCGATCTGACTCAGAAAACAGTGCTAAATTTACTGGAAATGTTTCCTTTTTTAAACAAATACAGACATGGCTGCATTACAAATTTATTTGATAACCAATACACCACACACTGCAAAAAAACACCAACTCTTATCAAGTATTTTTGGTCAAGTTTCTGGTAGAAAAATCTTAATTTTGTCTTTTTTAAAGTGCGCTAACTCACAAGTAACTTTTCAGCATAAAGTAAGTAGTTGTAAAAGTAAGTCAATAATTTCTTAATGTTGAATATTGGGAAAAATGTATTGTTATAAGTTAAATAATCTTCCAGATTCATTAAGATTAAGGAATTATATACTTAAAACAAGCTGAAAGGCGGTTTTGTCTTATTTCAAGTGTAATAAGATATTTGCGCTAGAAACTAGACAAAAAGAATTTAAGTTTTTGTTTTTCCAGTGTTCAGCCGAGTAATTGTGTGCATAATAAGTTCAGCCTGTTATTCTGGAGAAAGAAGAGTCTGTAAATGTTTCCGCTGCTTGTCAGAGTCGATCTGTTTTCGTCGCCCTGCAGCCTGGAGTCAGAAATAACCGGCACACAGCTGACAAGCCGACGGCGCAAGCAGTCAGCAGCTCCTCTTGTGCTATTTTCTTTTATGTTTTCTCGTCATCTGTGGCTGTCTTTGCTTATTTTTTCTTGTCAGGAGTGAATGTGGCGTGCTGTTCAGCCTCACAGGAACAGAAAAAAAAGGCAAAAAAATATAAGGAGAAAAGCAAAAACAACCATGTTTTTTAAGGGTATATTTACAAATTTCAGTGTTTATTATTGAGATTTTATGTGATCAATTAGACTAGAAGTTGTTTTTTTTTTCTCCAATATTTTCTTCACCTAAAACACTTTAAACTTTTTTGACAAATTGTTCTTGTGCCAAATCCATTTCCATCCATTTGGATTCCTTGACCCTTGACCCAGCTACGGTTACCGCGGCAGAGACTGTCGCTCCAACCTGTACCTGCTTCCCACTGGAGAGACGGTGTATTTCATCGCCTCTGTGGTCGTCCTGTTCAACGTGGACGAACAGCTGCAGAGACACTACACAGGACACACGGACGACATCAAGTGGTGAGAGACGCACTGGACTTTCTGCTTCCCATCCATCATTAAAACGAGGATTTATTTAAAATGTTAGTGAAGCATTTATGGTGATAAACGTCTTTTCATGGCAAGATTTTTAATTTATTATTGTCATAATAGAATCCAATTTATGTTTCACTGTTTTATTCACTGTTGAACGTCTGATTAAATACACTCAAAATTTAGAGTTTAATAATATAAATCGCATTTATTTTGTGATTTATATCAGAAGAAGCTTATTATGAATAGAAACTGTTTATTTCAGGATCAGTATTTGTGTTGTTTGTGTGCTATTAGTTCTGTAGCCTTGATTTGTCAAGAAATCGCATAATAAATTAAACATTTCCAGCTGGACCGCAATCATTCGTAATGGTTTTAAACAGTCCTGCCAATTTGGCCTGTTTTCTAAGCTGAATGATGAATATTTGTTTGAAACTCAATTTTCAAACAAATATTACAAAGACTTTTTTAAAAAGTAGTAATTTTTAAGACACATTTTAAAAATTATTTTTAAAAATATATTTAAAATGTTTTCAGAAATGTTATTTAATTATCAATTAAAGGGTTTGTTTTTATCTCTGGGTGGATAAATTGCTTGCATTAATGTCCCGTTATGTTAGTTGGAAACTGTTTCAAAATGGCGATATTATCGTTTATCGGGACAATTTATCTTTCAGCAAAATTTATCGTTATTTATTGTGTAATTTATTTACACTGACCTTAAAAAAAGCCATAAATAGTTCTTATCGTCACTTTTATTGTTATTACAATAATACCGCGACATATTGTAATAAAACTTTATATCCATAAAATGTATTTTCATTAGTCTGATTTCCTCCACTCTGATCAGGAATGTCATTTTTCCAACCAAGGGATTATTTTCATTTAAATATTTGATGTTATTCCTGTCTTCTTCAGTTTGGCCGTTCACCCTGATAAAATTACGATTGCGACTGGGCAGGTGGCAGGAACCTCCTCAGACGGAAAAGTAAGGGAACTTTTATTGTTTTTTCATATTCACGCTTTACTGAAGCAATTTTAAGGTACGTCAAATTAAAATAACAGTCATAGAGCCTCATCTTCTACACCTGATGCAGTTAATCACAATAAATTGAAGGAAGCTCCATAATTTCCATTCTGATTAATATTTATTGTTTTTGGTTGTTGTATATTGTTTTGGATATTTAAATGTTAAGTGAAGTGTTAATTGAAAATTAAATATTTTTGTCTTTGAGAAGGTGAAATTGCGTTAATCAGCCAATTATCAGTACTTCAGTTGACAAAAGTCTCTAAACAAAAATATTATTTATTATTGTTTATTGCAATAATTATCATAATTTATTGTAAAATTGATTCCCTAGGGGTTGGAGTTAGTTTTGGCTAAATCTAAAGTCCAAGATTTGTAAAAATTGAGATCTTTTGTAGGTCAAAGGTCAAATTTGAGGTGTGTGTGTGTGTCTGTGTGTGTGTGAACTCGTCCAGCTTCTTATAGTCTATTGCAAAAAGAAAATGTGTTTCTTTTATTTATCTTTTTTGAATATTTCAAGACTTTTGATGTTTATGATTGGATATTTTTCCAAAATAATTAATATTCATAAAGCTAAATAAACGGATTATTGTATTGTAACCCGGTTTTTGTTTCTGGCAGCAGCTGGCTCCTCATGTCCGCGTGTGGGACTCTGTCAGCCTCAACACGCTCCACGTTCTGGGCACAGGCTTCTTCGACCGAGCGCTCGTCTGCCTGGCGTTCTCCAAGTCGGTAAGAGACGCTAGCTCGCACCCTTTAGCACCACTCACGCTCTGCTAGGAGTTAGCTTTTTGATCTAATATGTTTTTTTTTTTTTTTTTTTTTGCAAATCAGAATGGAGGAAACACCCTTTGTGTTGTGGACGACTCCAACGATCACGTCCTGTCTGTGTGGGACTGGCAGAGAGAGGAGAGGCTCGCTGAAGCAAAGGTAGGAGCGTCTTCTGGTACAGTGAGTTCTGGTGTTTGTCCTTCTGAACTGGACTTGTTTCTTTCTTTTTGTGGGTCTGCTCAGTGCTCCAATGAGTCGGTGTTTGCTGCAGACTTTCACCCGACTGACAGCAACATTGTTGTGACTTGTGGCAAGTCTCATCTCTATTTCTGGACACTGGAGAAAGGCATGCTGGTCAAAAAGCAGGGGCTGTTTGAGGTAAGGGAAATGTCTAATATTAGGCAAAAAATGTATCAGTTTCACTTAGATCTTACCAAAGAAATATGGACTTATTTTTACATCCACCCCTCTAACATCTGTAGCATCATCTAAAAAATTATTCACTTTAACTTGGTTTTAACATCCTTTCTTAGTTAGTAGTAGCTATATGTATAGCTCCTACAGTGCATATCAATTTAGAAAAACTTTTACAGACTTTCAAAATCTTCAAAATTTGAGATCACTTGAGCATAAGAGGTCTAGTGGCCAATAATAAGAGGTTCAGTCAAGTATGTTTTGGAGAAAACTAATAAAAATGTGTTGAAATTCAGACCTTGCATATGCGCTTTAATGAAAGAATATCTGTGTTATCATGTCAATTCTTATTTAGTGGAAGAAATAAGTGAATTCTTGTGCTGTGCTACAGAAACAGGAAAAGCCCAAGTTCGTTCTGTGTGTGACCTTTGCTGAAAACGGCGACGCTATCACAGGAGACTCCAGTGGAAACATCCTGGTGTGGGGAAAAGGTATGACTTGCAGGGAATTAAAAAACATGCATTTTTTGTGCAAAAACACAAAATCTTACCAATTATCTTAGTCTAGTTTGTAGTGCAAATATCTTCATTCACTTAAAATAAGTTATAACTAACTTACAAGCAACTTTTCAGCAAGATATAGCAGCTTGTTTAAAGTCAAGCATCCCTTAATATTGCTGAAAAAATAATTGCAAGTTAGTCTTGTCTTATTTCAAGGGTACTAAAATGTTTGTACTGGAATCCAGACAAAAATACTGGGTAAGATTTTGTTTTTGCAGTGAATATGATCAAATGTGTGAGCCAGAGCTAAGAAGGGAATAAAACAATTCAAATGTTTCCAGTCACAAGCTCCTGTGAAGCAGACAAGAGGTTAAAGTCGGGTCACTTTGAGAATAGATCAAAGCTTGATCTTGTGAGCAGAGATTTAATGGGAAAAGCGATTCACCATCTCAGTTTAATCTATTGATCTCCGTTCCTGTCTGTCTCCCTGGCCTGAGATCCTGCTCATCTGTCTCTTTCTGTCTCTGTTGTGCAGGCACTAATCGCATCAGCCGCGTCATCCAGGGAGCTCACGAGGGCAGCATCTTCACAGTGTGCATGCTGAGAAACGGCGCCCTGGTGTCCGGAGGGAAGGACCGCAGGCTCATTTCGTGGGACAGCAGCTACCAGCAGATCCAAACAGTGGAGGTAAGGAAGCAAAACCCGACATCCTCTTTGAATAATGCAAATAATTTGTCATTTTAATTATTAGTAATTTAGTATTTCTTAGCATGAGTCATGATGGTGGAGCTCTATAGCATACCAAGGAAGTGCTGCAAGTGTTTAGCATCGATATTTAAGGCTCATCTTGCTTGTTTTTGTACCCAGCCTATTGCCTAGTAACCCCAGCAGAGTTTCACTAACTTGTTTACACTCTGATAGGATCTGATAGGATCTGGTGGGATCTGATAGGATCCCTGAGGAACATTTTACACAAAGAGATTAAAGCCATCTCCAAAACAGTGCAACCTGTCTCAGAAATATATGCAATATATGCAGTTATATATTTTTGTACTTCCTCTTCAGGCTCTCCTGCTTGTGAAAACTACTTTTGATATGTATTCAAGGTATCTTTATGAAGAAAGATCCTGGTAAACAGCGGCTTTATTTTCATTCTGCAGGTTCTTGAGTTTTTCGGTCCAATCAGAACCATAGCAGAGGGCAGAGGGGAGACCGTCCTCATCGGCACCACCAAGAACTTTGTTCTGCAGGGCAGCTTGGATGGAGAATTCATACCCATCACTCAGGTAAATGTGCTCAGATATCCACCCTCCACTGAAGGACTTATTTTGTTCTTGTTTGTTGTTTTATTCACTCGTTATGACTGGGTGAATGATTAATCAAATCTCCTCTGCAGGGTCACACTGACGAGCTGTGGGGTCTGGCTGTTCATCCCTGGAAGCCCCAGTTCCTGACCTGCGGCTATGACAGGCAGGTCTGTCTGTGGGACTCCAGCGCTCATCAGCTCATCTGGACCAAAACCTTGGAGGTGAGATTAGTCTACACTGCCCCCTGGGGTCCTTTTGGGGAATTGCACATCATAAACACAGTTCATTAACTACCATTGTGATATGGGATGAGGATGAAAAACAGTAACACATGATACTGAAATGCTTTAGAAATGTTTTTTCCAAAAAATAAATCACGAACAGGCCTATTCATCTTCTTTTTCTGTCCCGGTTGCTTTTCATTTTTGTGTTTTATGCTGTAAAAACACACAATCTTATCAAATATTTTGGTCTAGTTTCCACTGCTCATACCTTAATACATAAGATACACTAACTAGTTTAAAATCAACAATTCTTGAAAATTGAGAAGAAGTACTAATTCCACTGGCAGATCATTTCACTTAAAAAATAGAAAAATGTATTATGACAAAAATAATCTGCCAATGTAACTAGTACTTTTTAACAATATTCAAGAATTGTTGATTTAAAAAAAGTTAGTATATTCTGCTGAAAAATTAAGTTAGTTTTCTTATTTTAGGTACAGTTTCAAAGTTTGTACTTCGCTTCATCTCATCACCGATGGAAATATTAGATGGAGAGGAAATCCTAGTTTTCCTTTTTCGTTGTTGTTTCACAGGACACAGCTCAGTCAGCAGGTTTCCACCCAGCAGGAGCCGTGGTTGCAGTGGGAACCCAGACTGGCAGGTACAAATGCAAACTGGTTTCTCAATGAGACAAACTGCAAATAAAGGTCAAATAACAATAATACAATCACAAATCTTGCTTGAGAATGAATTGTCCCAGAAATTATTGAGATAAACTATAATATTGTTGTTTTGACACCATTTCACTGTAATATAATGTTTTATTACAGAGACAGATGTATGTGACGCTGACAGGAAGCTCAGTGTGTCTCTGATCCTGCAGGTGGCTGGTTCTGGACACGGATTCGAAGGATTTAGTTACGGTTCACACAGACGGGAACGAGCAGCTGTCAGTGATGCGCTACGGCCCAGGTGTTTTTCCCTGTTTTACCTCCAGTAACATGCTTAACTTGCCCCTTTTAGACAAGTGAAAGCAAAATCAAAAGGACTTTAAATTGTTTGGTTCTTGTTTATTCCCATAATTTCACATCCTAACCGATGTAACTTTGGTCTGATTTCTGTAGACGGTAACTTCCTGGCTATCGGTTCCCATGACAACTACATTTACATCTACGCCGTGGCAGAAAATGGCAGGAAGTACAGTCGGGTTGGGAAGTGTTCGGTCAGCTCAGTCTCCTTCACACCTCCTTCCTCGCCTTCTCCTCTGTTTCTCTAACTTTAATTCCTTTAATCCCTCGCCAGGGCCACTCCAGTTTCATCACCCATTTGGACTGGTCTGTGGACTCCCAGTATCTGGTCTCAAATTCAGGCGACTATGAGATTCTCTACTGTAAGTACGGCCGGTTAAATAAAGCACACTGTAGTGGAGCCAGACTCCTCAGCTGTGACCTTTGAGCTCATTTTTTAAATAACTTCACTGACATTCCAGTTGCCAAACATGTTTCATTGTACCAGCATTCCTCAGAGATTTTGCTCCAAACAGTTACGTGGTGTTCACGTTAAAACAGCACAGAATGTTACTGCCATTATTAAAGGTGACCTATTATTCTTCATTTACAGGTTAGGATATGGCTATGAAATATAAAAAACATTTTCATCACATTTTTTCACAATATTGTCCTTATAATAAAGTTTTTCTAGCTGTTTTAGCGTCTCTGTCACTTTAAATCCAAATAAGCTGCTGCTGGCCCCCCAACTCCACATTTACACTCAGAAGTAAAAATGGCTGCAAACATATGCATAATTGTACAATCATTCATTTAAAAAAACTGAACATCTTAAGTATTTTTGGTCTAATTTGTCATTTGAATAACTTAATAGACTTGAAATGAGACAAAACTGTATTACAAATAACTTTTCAGCAAGAAATAGGAACTCGTAAGTTAGTTCTGTCTTAGATATTTGCACTGCCAATTAGGCCAACAATGTTTGGGAAGATTTTCCACACAACCAACAAGAATGAATCAAATGTTTCGTTGTTGACTGAATCGTAAGTTTACAACAAAACTCTTGTCTTTTCCAGTGAATTGAGCAGTAAAACCAGCTGACCAAATGGTCTGGAACTGCTTGGGTTGCTAGGTAACGGGATGGTGCTTCTGCAGTTGCTAGGTAACGGGATGGTGCTTCTGCAGTTGCTAGGTAACGGGACGGTGCTTCTGCGGTTGCTAGGTAACACAGCAGCGCCATGTCATGTGACTCATTGTTGAGGTTTTTGAAACGGCTCATTTTCAGACATGCCAAAAAACAGCTGGGTCATTTTTTAAAGCGCTTTGGGTGTTTTGAGACCCAGTTGAGACTCGAATGGAAGTATAAAAACTCACTAAATATGAATTTTGCTGATGCAGGACGTATTTTGTCCCCGCAGGGATCCCGTCGGTGTGTAAGCAGGTCGTCAGCGTGGAGACCACCAGAGACATCCAGTGGTTCACTCACACCTGCACTCTGGGCTTTCAGGTGTTTGGTAAGACGCTGCCGCCTCCTGCTCTCCCACTCGACGCTTGTGCATTCACTTGCCACTTTATTAGGTACACATCTCCAGTAGTGGGTTTGACTCTGTTCTGCTTTCTGAAGCACTTTAATTCTTTATTTTATCAATTCAGCAAAGTGTCTGAAAAACTTCTGAGAGATTTTGGTCCATTTTGACACTATTATAGCTCCACCACAAGGCTGAATTATTGATATGTCAGGATGGATGACTGCATTCATGTTTTTTTACACCAAATTCTGACTAAAAGGTTTTTCCAATCCGTCGTTGTTTATTTAACCTTTGTGAATTAAAGTTTATTAGTTATTTTGTTATTTCAATTAAAATACAGATAGAAAATATTAAGAAAAAACATAATGATAGTGCAGGAAGAGGCAAACATCATATTGACTCTCCACCAAAATAGTATAGAAAGAAATAATTAACACAAACCTTCATTTGTTGCGCAATAGTCACATTAAAAAAGAATATGTAACAAAAATATTGACAATCGCAACTTGCTAATTAAATTTAAAAAATACATTTCAGGTTTTTTTCCCGAGCACATCAATATCCCTTAAATTTAACTTTTTCCTCATTTTGATTCCCACTTTGAACTTCAGCAAATCATCATCTTCCTCATCTAGATGGCTGGTCTCAGAGTGTCTACGCTTCCTTAAAAAGTCTTAAATTAATTTATCTAAAATTAAGGCCATAAAATGTCTAAAATTCATTTGAAAAAAAATTACTTAGCTTTAAATACATTCATTACAGTTCTTAAATTTTGTTTATTACTTTTCTGCTGCTCTTTTCTCTTCAGGTTTGTGGCCCGACGGCTCAGACGGCACCGACATCAACGCAGCGTGTGCGTCCAACGACAAGAGCCTCCTGGTCACTGGAGATGATTTCGGGAAGGTCCATCTTTTCTCATACCCATGTTCACAGTTCAGGGTATGAAGCTACACAGGCTACAAACGGTGGCGGTTTGTGATGTGGCTCTCTGCCAAGGGCAGCATAGTATGAGGGGCAACAGCAGCACTTTTTTTTTGAGTCAGTTAGAATAACACTGACTCTGAAGTTGGTCTCTAATATTTATCTTTCAAGTCAGACTGGTTTAAATTATTTCATGCTTTTTAAAAAAATTTTTTTTTAAAGAATCCTCATTGTAACATTAAAAAAGCCGAGTACCAAACAAATCAATAGAAATAAGATCAAAGTTTTTTAAAGTGACATGTTATACTTCCTGGAACAAGTTCTGACAGAACTGCAGGCGATACAAATGTGTGTATAATATTTTTTTCTCAAAAGCATTCTTAAATATTGAGATTTTTAGAGTTCCTTACAGATTGAGATGTTTTAGTGCGTCCTGTCACTTTAAATCCAAATAATCTGTTGCTGGCCACGCCCCCAACTCAATGTTTCCACTCACACTTGAAAATGGCTACAAACTGATGAATTACACAAAATAAATATTTTAATTCAGCCACATCGAGTGGTTCATGCAACAATTATACAACCGTACATCTTTGAAAAGCGGAAGTGGCGCCTCCTGCACAACCAACAAGAATGCAGCAAGTGGTTTGTGGATGGTAAGTCAACGACAGAACACTTATCTTTTCCAGCAGCCATTATACAGCGCAGACAGCAGTAAAGCCAGCTGACCAAATGTGCTGCAGCTTAACTTGGGTTGTAAGGTAACACTGGAGTTGCTAGGTAACAGGGCACCGCCCCTTGACTATGACCTGACAGCTCATTTTACAGACACTAACAAACGATAACAGCTGAGGTTTTTTGTTTGGTAGAAGCTGTATTTATGGAGGCAGGAGAGCATTACAGAACCGCCACTGGCCACCAGTGTGACCATTTCCTTTTGTTTCAGGATTGTCTGAAGAAATGTTTGGTTTTTTTATCCCTTGCAGGCTCCAAGCCATGTTTACCGGGGCCACAGCAGCCACGTGACAAATGTGAGCTTCCTTCATGACGACAGCTACCTGGTGTCGACCGGCGGGAAGGATATGAGCGTCCTGCAGTGGAGGATAGTCTGAACAGCCGAACCGAACAGAACTGCACTAAAATGAACCAAACTTAAAAAAAAGACTCCAAATAAGAAGTGGATGTGAGTGATCGGAAGTGGTTGAAATGCAGAACTTTTCCTTTTTTCTGTTTTTTTTTTTTTAGTCACACTACATGAACAAAACAAACGGGCCAACAGAACCAAAGGCTCCGACTTTCTGACTGCACTTCCTCAGAGTGGATGTCCCGGTTCTGCTCTCAGGCGGTTTGTTCGCTGCCAGACAGAACCGAATGGAGCCAGAGAGCCAAAAAACCCCTGAAATGTTGGGATTGTTTTTGTAACTGTTTAAACTTTTATTTTGTATTTAACAACTCAGGAAAGCACTAACGAAGCGAGACTCTTTCCCACTTAACATATCAGGAAGAACTTCTGGCAGCGGCTTGCAAAACTATTGATCTTTTCCACACGACAACCACAAACTTTGATGTTTTTTATTTTTATGAGACAGACTAACACAAAGTCGTGCTTAATTATGAAATCGCTGAAACGATTAATCATAATAAATTAATTTATTATTAATTTAGTACTCAGTTAATCATTAATTGCTGTTTGATGAAAAAATTGCGTATTCAAAGGTGTAATTAAGACAAAATTGCACAAAAAATAGATTTTGCATACAAGATGAAAAAAACATATTAGGTTCAAACTTTTTAAAAGCACCTTTTTTAATCTAATTATAATTTACATAATTAAAAATAATCCATGTTAGGATTTTATTTAATATTTTTATCTACAGATGCATCCTTTGCGACTGATATCATGTTACTGCGTTTAGCCAACAAATGTTCATTTTCTTACTTAAAAAAATCAAGTAAAATTATTTATGCATTTCTAATATTGCATAAAAAGGCCTACCTGTAAAATATACAGAATTTGCTGGTGTTTTTATCCAATTAATTAATTCATGTTCAAAATAATTGATAGATTAATTGATAACTAAAATAATCACCTAATATTTACAGAAAAACGATCTGAATGTCTTTGCTTTTATTTCAAGATAGCTCAAACTCAGACACAGCAAATGTAAAACAACAAATGTTCAGGTATTGCCACAATTTTTCATTTAGATTAAAGTCTGCACTTTGACTAGGCCATTCTGACACATGAGTATGATGTAAACGACTGTATTGGCTTTTGCAAGTTTTTCCCCAGTTTTGCCCTTTTATATTTCCATCCGTCCTTCCATGGCATTATGCTGCCACTGCCATGTTTTACCACAGGAAGGATGTGCGAGTTCGTTTCTACATTTAAATTTATTCATGCTAATCAAAAACATTCTGGTTAGATTTTTATTTGTAAAAAAATTTTTTTTAAATACTTCTGTCTTTCCATTTCGGCACTTTTTGTTGGTCTATCACATAAAATTCTTGGAAAAACATAAAAGTTTGTTGATGTAAAGTGATTCAATGTGAAAAACTTTAAGATATATCAGTGACATCATCACAATATAACAAATCAGCTTTCAACCAATTGGGAACTGAATGAAGGATTTTTCGCATCATAGTCTAAACATATTTGACCAACGCTGCAAAAAACTAAATCTTAAGAAACATTTTTGGTCCAGTTTCTTGTCCAAATATCTGAGGACACGTGAAATGAGGAAAAACTAAATCATAAGTAACTTTTCAGCAAGGAGCGTGTTTCAAGTTCCTTAATATTGATGAAAAAGAACTGGTTCCACTGGCAAATTATTTCACTTTTAACTTGGGGAAAATGTCTTGTTATAAGTGAAATAATTTTAAAGGATTATTTTCGGAAAACAGTTACTTGCAAGTTAATTTGTTTTATTTCAAGTGTGTTCAGATATTTGCACTAGAAATCGAATGGTCAAATTTTGCAGTGTTCAGGCTGAAAATGAAACATTTTTCTTTTTATTTATTGATTTAAGCCAAATCTCCCTCTTACATTACAACAGTCGTTTCTCCTTGAGTTTTTCTCCTTTTGTCGTCCTGAGTGGGTGAATCTAGAGACATGGCACAGCTCTGTGGAAAACCTGAGTGGATATTTGAAACAGTTTTAGCTCTTTTTTTGTTTTTTTTGATGAAATGTTGTATGTGTCTCTTTTCAAACAAAAAACGTGGAGCATCAAAAACAAGCAAATATAGTTTTTTTTGTTGTTGTTTTTTGGCTTCTGAGGTTTGCTCCTGCAGAGGAAGGAAGAGACCGTTGCACTGTAATCGCCTGACTTTTTGCACCAACACTGAACTGAACCCTTTTCCTCGTTAAAGCACTTCTTCCGCCTGGCAAACACACTGCAGGTTTCTAACTGCTCAGCGTCACATGACACAATCTCTGCTCCTTCAGTCGGGTTTTTGCTTCACATCAGAACTTTATCGGGACGGAGTTGAGTGGATTTTAGTGTGAGCCTCTCTGCTGGTGTGTGTGACTGATGGTTGGAGCTTTGTTCTCAGTAAAATCTTTTAACTTCCTCCAGATGGATGTAACAGAGCCTCATTAAATACCTAACATCTGACTGAAAACAAATGAAACTTGAAAATGTCTTCATGTTGTCTTTTTATTTCCATATGATGAAAATAACAGAAAAAATAAACAAAAAAAACTATCATTAAAATGGAGAGAAAAAATTATTTTGGGTTTTCCCCAATGGGTGAGAATGTCTTATTTATCAAACCTTTTATTATTATTATTATTATTATTATTATTATTATTATTTTTGAAATTGTCATATTTTCCCTTTTGTCCAGTTTAGTTGATCTTGAGCCAAGAAACAGAATAAGTTGACTGCAAAAACACAAAATCTTGCCAAGTACTTTGTCTATTTCTGCTGCAAATATCTTACTACACTGGAAATAAGACTAAACTAACTTATTGGACCAATACTAAAGTGGCAAATAATTTTGTTAGCATTTTTTCTTTTTTATTAAGAACAAGTGCAGTTTGTAATCGTGGCTCTCACCCATAAACTAACAGCGATATATAGGAGCTTGTTTGTCAATAATTTTAAAATATTTGTATCAAAAGTCATTGGCAGATTATTTAACTTATAACAATAAATTTTCCCCATAATATAAGAAGACAATCTGCATGTTTTTCACCAGTATTACACAAACTAACTCAGATTTGTCTTAAAAGTTACTTGTAAATAATTAGTATCGTACCGTAATTATAAACTAGACCAAATTACTTGATCATATTTATTGTATTTGTATAATTTAGTCAAACCCACAGTAATAATGTGTAAATGTTTAATTTAAAAGTTTAAGGGTTTTCAATAATACAATGCAAAAAAGCAAAATATTACCATGTATTTTTGGCAAATATCCTAGTACACTTGAAATAAGACACAACTAGCAAATTACTTTTCATCAAGAAATATTAGCTTAATTTAGATAATTCCTTAATATTGATGCAAAATACTAGTTCCACTGGCAAAATATCTTGTTTTATTTAAAGGACATTTTTTTATTTAAAAGACATTTTTCCCATGTTATAAGTGAAACTTGCATTTTTTTAATCAATATTGAGGAATTATTTAAGCTCTCATATCTTGATTGTAATTTAGTTGCACTAGAAATTCCTTGGTAAGAGTTTTTGTTTCTACAGTTTGATGTTGATTTGTGTTATTTTATTTTATATTTTACAATCATTGTTGCTTTTGAAGACAAAGACCAGACGCCTGTTAATTGGCGACACCCAGTGGAGTCCCGCTCCCACCTTTTGGGAACCACTGCGAGGAGAGGGGGCTTGGTTCAATGCTCGCTTTGGCCGCTGAGTGGCAGTCTTGAGTCGCTCCTGTTCCTTCTTCTTCGCCCACCGTGTTAGCAATCCACGAAATCTGCTTCCCCGGCTCACCGCAACCAGAAACAAAACACTCCGGATGGGGAGGAAGTGCTCCACGAAGGAGCCCGAGCCGCAGCGGCGCTGTTGACCCAGCCGAACTGAGCCGAACATGGGCCTGAGGAGCCGCCATCGAACCGCCGGAGCTCCGCTGAGACAGCGCAACACAAAGCGCATGGAGGCGCGCGCGCTGGTTTAGCGTCTGCGGATCATCTCAACGGCTGTTCTTTTTTTTTCTTCCCCTCTCTCTATTACTGACGCTGCTTGGACGCTGGAGGGCTGTTTTTCTTTTATTTCTCTTCACATTTACCAAGACGGATCTGACGCTCATCAGTGCACCACCAGCGGCTGGATAAAGGAGGAGGAGGAGGAGGAAAATGAGGTAAGCTGCTCCCGCTGCTGCGGCTCCATGCGCTCCGTTTGACGCGTCATGACAGATGCTCTGCCCTCCTCCTTCCCCCTCGTTATGCCCGAAAATCACTGCAGCGGCTCGCGCTCATTCAGTGGATCGGTTCGGCCACCTCCCCCCTCCTATTTTATGTTATTTTTACATATGTTTTTTTTTTTTACCCTCGCCTCCTCTCCATTGTCACCTACACCGGACCCGCCCTTGTGGGCTAAAAAGCCGGACTCAGGCCCCGGTTCGTGAATCGTGTTGTCATGGAAACGGCAGCATCGTGTATCTGTCCTAATCGGTGATGTATGGGGGAAGAAAAGGCCCCGTTTGGGTGGATGTGACCGCCATATGTGAGCCGCTGCAGGGGATAAGTGGGGGTGCTTATGGCAGCAGCAGCAGGAGGAGGGGGGCTGTTTATTCTAGCGGTTGCCAGGCAGGTTAATAGCCCACCACCCCCACCCACCACACACACACACACACACACACACAACACACACACACACACACACACACACACACACACACTATTCCAGCATGGATCCAAGCCATATTTGCTCATTTAAAAATATATTCCATATTCGATTTCCACTCAAATTGTCCGATACTCACTGGCGCTGGAAAAGCAGAACATGGGTATATACATACTAATGCATAGGGGGCGCCAAAACAGTGACGTACAAATTTTACTTTTTCAATTTAATTCTTTATACTAACTAAAAATAAAACAAAACTAACTTACAAGTAACTTTTCAGACAGGAGGAGCTTATCTTAACTCAATAGTTATATAAAAAATAGATAGTTCCACTGAGATTGTTCTACTTATCACATGGAAAAAATGTCTTGTTATAAGTTAAAATTTTGCCTGTTTTTTTTTAAATCAATGTTAAGGAATTAAGTACTTAAAATAATCTTCTATGTCTTCTTGCTGAAAAGTTATTTTACTTTTTCCATATTTACATGGTGAAGTACCAAGCCTGCCACAATAACAAATTTTACTGGGCTGTAAATCGTCCCAGAAGTTATTGCGATGACAAAAGTACTGTTGTTTTGAGATCATTTTCAAGTAATATAATGTTAATGATTCTCAGAACATATTCTTTAAGATGAATATTTAACACAGGAACTGGAAGACATTGTAAATATCCAACATAAATAAAACAGAAACAACAAATAAAATAATTGTCAAATTTGACCTTCAAAATATAGGCTAGTTCAGACAAAAAGATTTTTGTCATCTAATTTTTAGTAGCAAGAAAGAGAAACAATAAATCATGCAAATATAAATTATTCAGTTTTTTTTAATTGATTATGCGATTAATTGATTTATTGTGACAACCCTAAACAGCATTATGTAAAATTTGCATCACATTATGATATTCCCTCATGAAAAACATGCCTGCAGTGTTGCCTTGATTCTTTCATGCATGTCTTTATATCTCCATGGCAACCATTGAACAGTGAAAAACACCTGTTTGGACCTAGCCCCGCCTCCAAGGGCAAAGCTCCTCCTCAGAACTGCAGTTTCCAACTTTCCGCATTACACAGCAACTCCTCAGCCCCTTCAGACTAGCTAGCAACAATTAGCAAACACCTGGTGGAACTGCGCATCATTATACAAGCCACTTTTCAGGGCATAGATGGTAAAAACGTTGTTGAAGGGTTAATAGAAGAACCATTTTGTAATGACTTCCTGAAGATGTAGTTTCAGAAAGTCTTTGTTTTTTTTAAAGAGACAGGCCCAATTTTAAGGCTTTAAATTACAAAGTAATATTTATTTTAAGAAATATTTGTTATCAATGGCATTTTTAAACACCTGAAGTTACATAGTTACTTGATTTTATTCTAAAATGGCTGAAAAACATCTAATAATGCCCCTTTAACGGCTGTGACGTACACCTCAGACAGGATCATGCTGCGTCCCTGCCAGTGTTCTGGTGATCTGCTTGGCTGCTGCCAGGCAGCTCCAGCTCTATCTCGTTGCTTTGCCAGGTCAGAACCAGCAGCTGAACTGCTTTCCTCTCAGACAGCAAACATGTAGGAATCATGCGTCTCCTTCCAGCTGGACGAACGCACTGTTTCCTCCCTTTCTGTGAAGCTCAGCTCCTTGCGTCCTGTGTGTTTATTTTTGCCAGAGGCAGGTCTGCTCTTTGACTTAAGCCCAGAAGGGAAGTCTTAAATCTCCACAGAGAAACCACTTGCTTCTTTTGCAATGTATGGAAAGGATTCAAATTATTGACTAATGAGCTCATCTAATAAGAGGGTATTTTCTTTAAAACCTGAGTTTTCTCTTGTAAAATGTCATTCCATAACATAAATTGATTGTTTTTGATCTTGAAAGAATCTTAAGACTTCTCCCATGAAGTGAATTAATTCATTTCAGCCCTCAAAATCAACCATAATTATCAGGATTATGTTTATTTTCATCATGTTATAGCTTTTCTCTGTTATGCCCTTTGCTTTTCTTGCATATTATTCTCATTTTGTGGCACAACAGTAATTTTTGAATGAGAAATTGACCCTTCTCCCGCTAAGTGAATGTTATTAAGGTATAATGTGACTAAAGGAGCTTTATATTTAAAAACAGAAACACATAAAATGCAGACTCTGGACTCTTGGACTGTTTCTCTTTCCTGTTCTCGCCGCCATTTTTGTTTCTGTATCAGCTGCTACGCTTAATGATGACCAGCGGCGCCCTCTACTGGATGGCGGCAAAACTAGAACACAGAAAGAAAGTCTAAGGAAGCCATGAGTAGAATTTAGGAGTTAATCAATTGGGATTAATTTTAATCTGATAAACCATTAATCAACAATTAACTGTAAGTCAGTTGCTTGCATCACTGTGGAGGAAGAGTTTCATAAAAATGTAGCCTCATTCTGGGCTTTGTTGTATAATGTTGATGCGTTTAAGCGTATTCATGAGTGCATTTTTAGTGCTTTGGCTGTGCATTGTTTTATGCTGTCAGGTCTGATGAAGTTCTTTCTGCTGGACGAGGAGGCAGCTTTAAAACAGTTGGGCTTTTGTCCTACACCGTCATTGCAGGATGATTTCTGAAGCGCATGTGCTGGTGACTCATTGTTGGAGAGGTAAAATGATGGAGGACGCACTGGGAGGTAAAATTCTGAGCTGCACTGCAGGCTGCTGCTGCTAGCGTCCACGTGAGCCAAAGTCATCCGTCTCCAAGCTTTAAACTGGCAGAGAGAGACTCACAATAAACCCTGGAATGTAGGGGAGAAAATTCAAACCTTCAAGGGAAGAAAAAATATGTCTTTTAACTGTTAATGATTGAGTATTTTTCATCCGCGGGCTCAGAAGAAGTCGGAAAAGCTGTTAGACTTATTTATTTTCATTTTAGGCAAACACCCATGGTTTCTACAATTTATTTTATTTTCCAACCCATTTTGGCTGGTGTTTATAGGTCAGATTTTTGTTTTAAAATGTAATTTTTTCCTTAAATTATCCCCAAAACAACACATCTGTTCATAAACAGAATAAAGATTCTATTGGAAACCTGTCATAGTCCTTAAATGTGTCCTAAAGTAAACTAAAAGTTTTTTGTTTGTCCAGCAGATGGCAATACTCTCTCTGTTTAAAACTTGCAGCCAAGATTCTCCAAGAAATAAGTTTTGTACAGCTATTATTGTTGTATAACTGTGTCTATCTTTCTCTCTAATGACAATATCAACAATTAATTTTATTTATTTATCTTTAAAAAAATGGTCCAATGTTAGTATCTTGGCTTTAAAATCATTATAAAAAACAATCAAATTAAAAAAAAGATTTTAGGGAGTTTACATTTTTCTGTCCCTAGAACTTTTTAATCTGACAATATAAAAAACATAATTACATCCTCAAAATCACTGTTAGAGAGAATAATGGGTTTATATCACAGCTCAAAGAGAAATCCTACAAGCAGTAAAATCTGTAAAATGATGCCTTTCCATTTCTGTGGAGGAGGAAGTTGCTCTCAGCGTTTCCTTTAGAGGTTTTTGTAGTTTCCTTCAGTGGTTCTTGGTGTAGCACCACCACAGGTTGGGAGAGGAACGTATTTTTTTATCGACCCGCCTTTCGCCCAGAACATTCGCTGGAGATCGGCACCAGAACAGCTCTCGACCCACTAGGGACAAGGGTGTTAGAAAATAGATGGATGGATCGTTTGACACAATGTAGTGTGAAAGCTGAAAATTCACCAAATATTGCAACTTTGGTCCTCAATCAAACTGTGTCTGTAGGACCTTCAGGTGTGAAAACGCCCAAAACATTTAAATCACAAACAAGAAAAACTTTTTTTTACATAATTTCCAAGTAAATATAAAACTTCTTGATACTGTTGATCAAAACTTGGGGAACTTTAGTGGTAAGTAAATCGCTTGTGGATTTTTAAAAAATTCCTGTTGTATATCTGCGACCTTATCAGCTTCTGGCTGCATATTTCCTGCCATTTTAAGGCGCACAAAGCCCTCTAATCTTTAAGATTGCTCTTTGTTTGCTTCCTGCACCTTGGCTTGCCTTAAAGAAGCTTAATGTCTGCGTTGCTTCGGCCAGATGGACCCTGCGAGCCGACAAACTAAACCCACATATGAACAACACAGAATTATATTACACATAATTGTTGCTCAGTTTGTCTGAACTGGAGTATTTTAATGGAAGAAAGGTAAACAAGTAGAATCCCTTGTATTTCCTACAAGGGTTACACTGAAAAAGTAATTTTGGGGTGGTTTATAGCGCAAACTTAAAAGTAACTTTTCGGCATGATGCAGAGCAGATGTGTCAAAGTCGGGGTCCGAGGTCCAAATCTGTCCCGCCAGGAGATTTTATGTGTTTTTCTGCACTGTAGAAATAGAATCTTTAAAATAACGGTTGTGTTTTTTACATATTACTTTATCAATGAGTGGTTTTATTTAGGTAAAGGGAAAAACATGTTTAATGTGATTTAATTTCAAGATGTTCTCACCATCAGCTGTTTATTAACAGGTGGTTTCATCA